GCAGGTTATTTTATTCTTTTGATCTTTCTTACCCTGCTCAAGAGGAGGTACTTTACTCGTTCCCACAGTGTGTATCCAGCCTTAACTTCTGTCTGGCTTAATAGGGGTGACTTTCTTTTACTTCATTCCAATGAAATACAAACTAACAGTCCAAGGAGGGTTCAGAATGGTGAGAGAAAGGTAGAATGCCTTCCTATAGTGCCTGAACCTGAAGGAGAGGTAGATACCTTAAACTCCACATGTCTAAAACTGAACTAATCTCTCCTTTCTTCATACCCCCTTCCCTATTACTTTACCTAAGTAACGTCATTTGAACACACCCCCTTCTGTCCTCTGACATTGCCACCATAAGTACAAGCACACATCGCCTTATGCTTGGCATATTACAATAGCTGGTGATGGGCCTGGCTGCCTGCACTCTCTCCCCACTCCAATCCATCCTCCATTCTGTGATTTTCCTAACGTACCTCCCAACTCAGCAAACTCCGGTGGTTTCCTGTCATTTCCAGGAGCAAATACAAAACGCTTTCTTTGGTGTTCGAATCCCTTCATAAGCTAGCCCCATCCTACCTTTCCAGCTGTGTACACTTTGATTCAGACACTTGCCTCCTGGCTGTTCCACAAACAAGACACTCCATCTCTAGGCTATGGGCATTTTCTGTGGCAGTCCTCCTTGCTCTAAACAATCTCCTGCCTTCATTCTGCCTACTGACCTCTCTGGCTTCATTTAACTCCCAATTACAGTCTCACCTTCTGTTGGAAGTTGGAAGTCTTTTCAACCCCTCTGTAATTCTAGTGCTTTCCCTTCCTAGTTATCTTATAAATAGCTTGCTTTGCATGTATTTGTCTGTTTGTTGTTTTCCCCCATTAGATTGTGAGCTCCTTGAGGACAGGGACTCTTTTGCCTTTTTTTGGGGGGGAGGGTATCCTCAGTGCTGAGTACACTGCCTGGCACATAGTAGGTGCTTAATAAATGTTTACTTATTCATTCTTCATTGGTCCTTTCAATAACCATCATGCCCTGCCATGCATATTGTCTTGAAACTTCCAGAAATCTTAAGCTTACAGTACAAACTCTGTTGGAAAAACACAAGCAGTGAATCCTTCCCTGGCTTTCCTTCTGTGTCAGCAAAGCTCTTTTTTATGTATATATGTAAATCCTTGCAGTATGTGGGAGGTATAAATCTACAAATTTTAAAATGCTAGGTGGGTAATGGATTATTATTATTAAACATAGAACTAGTGTAGCTTATTTGAACATAAAGGTCCTGTAGCCGTTTTGGGGTTTTTATTTGTTTATGGATAGTGACTTTCTTTTGTTAAAGTAATTTTCTCATTTATCATCACACTTTTTGAAGTGTGTTGTTTGTACAGATATTTGCTTCTTTTCTCTCCCATTGGATTATGAACTGCTTGGGAGCAAGGGACTTATATTTTTTCTCTTTTTGTATCCCTAGAGCTTAAAACAGTTCCTAGCACATAGTAGGTGCTTAGTAAATGTTTATTTATTAACTAGATGATATTAAGTCAGAAAATTGAGTCCCATGTAAGGCAAAATCATTTGTTTTATATTTAGGTTAACTCAGTGATAGGAAGGGGGAATATTCCATCTTTAGTACCCCAAGTGTGATATTTTCCAGATGAGGCTAAGATCCTTTAGAGATGACATGTTCCCCAATTCCATGTTTCTCCATTTGATTTGGTCTTGTCATTTCATTTTATCCTGACATTAGAAGAGAAAAATTAAGTCTAGGCAGGAAATATTTTTCCTTAAAGGCTACAACACTAGAGGTTAAGAAATAGAAAATAATGCCAGTGAATAGAACTGGCAAATATCTTGGTGTCTGTAATTTCTAACTCATGTAACAGAGCATGAAGCACCTGTGATTCTGTACAATGTGGTAATTTACCAAGTCTCAGTATTTTTGCTGTTTTTTTTTGTTTCCATTCTGAAATCCACTGGTGTCAATTTAAACTAAATTCTGTAGGCCTAATTTTATGACTCTGTAAAATCCTGTTTCTGTCTGAGTGTCATCTTGTATGTTTTGCCTCCAGCTTTGCAGATTTATGACTGCTGTGTATCATTGTAATTCTAAGTAAAATGTTATTACATGCACTTTTATTGTTCTTTATTTACATAGTCCTTTAAGCTTTCCTTTGTTTTGGGAGGGAATTATGGCCCTCCCTCCAGGTTGATTTGTACGCTTGCTATCTTCAAAAGGAAAGAAGACTAGGTTTTCTGAAGGGCTCATTGGTACAGCACAGTATTTGTAACACAGTGGGTTGAAGGTACTTGCTGACAGGAATTTCAGAATGTCCAGTCTTCTTCTAAAACACACAAATGTTAGTGGTTTGAATGTTAAATGTTCCTCTTATTGTTGACTTGTTGAATCACATTCATCTATTAGAATATATTTCAAAGGATTCATTTTTGTCTTTAAGGTTAGGAAAGTTTAAAGGTCCATATTAGGTCAACTAGGGCTTCAAAAGAAGATTCAAAAGGGGACCTCACTTAGCAAGGGAAGCGATAAGGCAGTTGAAGAGGAATGTTGATAATGGAATGTTTTTGTTCCATAAGAATTGATGAGTAGACAGACTTCAGAAAAACCTGGAAAGACTTACATGAAGTGAGCAGAACCAGGAGAATATTGTACATCGTAACAGTAACATTGTACGATGACTAACTTTGGTAGACTTACCTCTTCTTAGCAATGCAAGGATCTAAGACAACTCCAAAAGACTTATGATAGAAAATGCTATTCATATCCAGAAAAAGAATTGTGGAGTCTGAATGCAGATTGAAGCATACTCTTTGTGCGCGCACTCTCTCTCCCGCGCCTTCTCTCTCTCTCTCTTTGGGGGGGGGGGTTCTTCTTTCTCCTGGTTCCTCTCATTGGTTCTAATTCTTCTTTACAACATGACTAATGTGAAAATATGTTTTATTAATGTATATGTAGATCCTATATCAGATTGCAGACCATCTTGGGGTGAGGGGAAGGGAGGAAAAGGAAGAAAATTTAGAACTCAAAATCTTAGGAAGTGAATGTTGAAAACTAAAAATAAACAAAAAAACCAACAAAAAAAAAAAAGAAGAATATTGAGTGGATTGAAGGATTGAACAAATGAGGTAAAGTTACTAAAACCACTTGGGCATAATTAAAGATTATTTAATAGAATGACAGAGAAAAGATACCAAAATTTTACTGGAATGATTGGTTGCTTATTTGGCCCTCCTTCAACCTGTTATTTAACTGGGTATAAACCTACTCAAGATTTATAGTACTTTATAGTACTAAGGAAAAAGTACTTAAGTACTTAAAAATACTTAATATAGCTAAATGGCATGATGGATAAAATATCTGACAGAAGCAAGAAGACCTGAGTTGAAGTATTGCCTGGAATATTTAACTACCTATGTGACCCCTGGGCAAGTTTCTTAATCTCTCTGAGCTTTAGTTTCCTCATCTGTAAAATGGGTATAGTAATAGCACCTTCTTCACAAGTTGTAATAATAATCAAATCATTTATGTAAAGCATTATGAAAACCTTAAAGGGCTATATAAATGCTAGCTATTGTTATTGTTGCTATTGTTACTTGGCTAAGGAAAGAGGGACAGGTTGCAGCTGGGATACTAAGAAAAAATCACACCCCTACCTTAATTTCTTGGTTAAGTATAATGCAGAATTTGGGTTTCCAAAGATGTGCTGGTATACTAATTTTTAAAGCTTATTATGACAGCTTTTTCACCTAGGCTTTCTTTCTTTTTAATTTAATTTTTTGCCTAGTAGTTTATTATGGCCTCTGTTATGCTTAATATAAATGTGATAAAGTATCAATACACTCAGTTGAAAAAAAACCAAAAACTTCAATTTCTTGTCCTTTTGGTCACCATTTTCAGAAAAAGATATGTGTCTTGACAGATGGCTTCTTCCCTGTAACTGTGGAATAAAAGTTCCTTTTCCTTACTCACTGTCTGTAAAGGGAAAATTTTTGTGTTATCAAAAGAAAATCTAAACCAAATCAAAAGTGAAATTGGAAATGCAGTCTGTTTTAAAAGGCCTAGTGGCAGAGGTACAAATTTTTGTTTTAAATGAGGAAAACTCATCTTGTTTTAGGAGGATCTTCTTATACTTGGGCTGCTCAGTTGAGAACCTTAGCCTCTGTTTTGGGAGGTGGTATTTGTGAGCTTCTTAATGTCTGTTATGGCCCCTGTCTCACCAGTCTATACTTTGGAAGAGTTCTTCCTGAAAGTAGCAACCTGCCTATGGCCTGCTGAGGTAAATGCTTTAATGGCTACTAAGCTGGGAAAGAGGGTAAAAGAATGATAAAGGATGGGATTGAAGAATTGCAGTCATTTACGATTAACGATGCTTTTCTTTTGAAGATAATGAGGAAATAGCAGTACAAAACGTGTAGAAGAGGGCATTTTCTGATTATTGCCTTAACCAAGATAAAAATCTTATTATTTTCATGTGTGAACAAGCAGAGAATGATAATAGGAAGAAGAAAAAAGGGTGATGGTGTTTATGTTCTTTTTAGACCTAGAGCTAATTGTGTTGTTAGCTGGGACAGACCTAGTTAGTATTCAGGGCTAATTTGCTATAGATGCCAAAAAGCTTTTCCATTTTACTTGGCACATGGATAGTAATGTTATCCATTAATTTTTCTGATTATACATCCGTCATTGCCTTTCTGTTAAATCAGGGTTCCTTAATTTGGGCTACTTAGGTAGACCATAAATATATTTCAAAGGGTCCATGAACTTTTAAAATATTTTGATGATTATATTTCAATATAATTGGTTTCCTTTGTCTTCCTCCCTATTTTATTTTATTTATTTAAAAACATTCTTCTGAGAAGGGGTTCATGGGTTCTTCACCAACTGCCAAAGGGCTCCAAGGCACAAAACCATTTAAGAACCCCTGATTTAAGGTCAGCACTTGCTGTCTTCCATAAATTTGCATCATTTCATTAAATTCATTTCTTATTCTTTCCACAGAATGTAAAATCCAGGGACTTGAAACAAAAGCTTCCTACTCACAACACCTGAAGGACTTCTGAAAGAAATTGCCCCAGGACTCCCAACTAATACTAATTTGTTGAAACATCATGTGCTGAAATAAAAAAAAAGAAAGGGCAGCTGACCCACCTTTGTGCTAGTGTCCCAGTCACCATGTTGTTTGCGCTCTTTGAGCTCTAGACGCACGGGGAGAGAGCTGAGAGCCTGAAAATGAGGCCATGGACCGGCTCCTGGCGTTGGATTATGCTCGTTCTCTTTGCTTGGGGGACTTTGTTGTTTTACATAGGCGGACACTTGGTACGGGACAACGATCATCCTGATCACTCCAGCAGAGAACTCTCCAAGATACTGGCGAAGCTTGAGCGCCTAAAACAGCAGAATGAAGACTTGAGGCGGATGGCAGAGTCTCTCAGGTGGGTTTCTGTAAGTGGTTAGGAAAAAAGAAAAAAATGTGATAACTTTTCTGGTATGATACTTCAGGGAAATCTTAGAAAATATATATTTTTTTCATTCTTGGCAAAAATAAAAATATGTTATATCACTTTTGGTAATGATGATTCTTGTGTATACTTTGATGAGGTTCAGGGATACCCCAAAATACTGGGATGCAAAGTCACCTCAAAAGAATTTGCTTAGGCTATCTCCAAATCAAGTAAAGGCATTTATTGATTTATTGTGGAACACACCCACACCCACACCCACCCACCCACACACACACACAGACACCCATAAGTGGGCTCCTTCACCTTTGAAAGTAGGTGAAACTTAATGAGGGGGGCACTCCTTAAGAGAGATGGGTGAGGGGTCCCCCCTCCTCAAAGGGGAAGATTGCTTTAGGAACTTGGTTCCTTAAGGGAGATACCTACTTGCCAGGAGAGGCTAGGGAGCTAGCGATTCCTATAGAGTAAAACTTGCCATGAGTGGAGAGATGAGGTAACCAGGAACTGTAGTTCAGAGTTTTGGTCATATCTAGGCATATCATTATTCCATTGTTCAGTGCTGGGTGAGGTGGAAGAACCTGTGTTAGTTTTGTTATTTCATTGATCAGCCTACTTGAATCTCTTAGTAGTGGTACTTGAGATAATGGGCTTCTGTTTGACTAGTCAATTTGAATCTCTTTATCTCTTCCTTCCCCCCCCCAAAGAAGTAGGCACCCAAATTCATTTGGGAAAAAGGGCAAGGGGCATATATTCCTCATACTTCATATGTAAGACAGGCATGGTAAAAATTTTTTTAAATGCTTGAGAGTTCAGCATAAGTATCCGTACTTGAATAAACAACCAAATAGAGAGGGGATACTTCTTTAGTTTATGGCATATGCATTTGAATGGGTTCCCCACAGAGCTGGTGTCTCAGGGCCTACATCTTGGTTGGACGTTGGAGATAGAAAAGAAACTAGGCTCAGAATTGAATAGGAACTGGACCCTGTGGGCTGGATTGTATTTACACTATTGAACAGTGTTTTAATTTCCCCAAACTTCTTCCTGAAATGAAGGCCCATCTTCCTATTAAAGATATTCCATCTCTGACACATTATCTCTGAGACACTGAGAAAGTTGTTTGGGGAGCCCCCCCCAAAAAAAAAACTCAACTTCTCAGTGACTTGTTCACCCCTCTAAGAGTTAAATATGTTGAGTGACTTGTCTAAGGTCACTCGGCTCTGAGGTGTCTGAAGCCTGATTTGAACTCGGGTCCTCCTGACTCCTGACTCCAAGGGCTGATGCTCTATCCACTGCACCACCTAGCTGCTCAAGAATAGTCTTTGAAGAGATAAAATTGAAGGGTGCCTAAAAGGCAATGGAATGATGCACAGTGGTTGAGAATAGCATATAGTAGAGTTTTTAGAAAACTCTCAACTGTCCAGAATTATTGAATATTTTTGAGTCAAAGTCAGTAAACATTTATTAAGCACTGAGTGCTGAGGATACAAAGAAAGGTAAAAGACAGTCTGCCCTCAAGGACCTGACCATCTAATGGGGGAAGATAACACATAAAAAGAAGCTGAAAAATTGGGGGATAGGGAGATAATGCAGGAGCATGACGAAGTCCTGCAGCCAGTGTGGGAAATGATTAAGTGATTGTCAGAGTACCTTCCTTAAATGGAGGGTGTGGGAAGAGCCCTCTGATATCCGTTGTCCCCCTTCTACAGTCTTGAGGGAGGGTAGGGCCCCAGGGACAGGACGGAGGAGGTATGAATTTTAGAAGTGGTATGTCATCTTGGAAGAGTCTAGGAGAGTATTTGGGTGGGAAAAGAAATATAATTGCCTTACCATCTATTTTTTTTCCTGTAATAATTGTTTACATTAAAAGTCAACAAAAGTGAGACCACCACAACAGATTCACTTCAGTAGATAGTGAAGTGGAAGGAGTCTTAGGTTTGAATCTTGACTCTGCCATTCACTAACAGTGTGACCTTGGTCTAGCAAATTGGTCTTTATGTGCTTCACCTGAAAAAAGAAATGAGGGGGTTGGACCAGATGTCCTCTAAGTATTCTTTCCAACTCTGTATCTATGATCCTGTGAATGGAACGCAGTATTATTTATTATGCTCAAATGAGGTCAAATTTGAGTCAACTTGTGTCAAATCTCACTGGGGAATAAGCTGCCTAGGTGATAATTTTTTCTGAAGAACATTAGTTGCTTAAAAATGTAAGCAAAGACAAACCATGTCTGTGACATCAAAAAGACTGCTCATATTGCATAAGATTGCTTATGCAATTACTAAGTGTAAAAAGCCTCATTAGAAAGAAGAAATTGCTATCTACAACTATTGATATGGTTGAAATGAAGCTTAGCAAATTATATGCAAAAGCTCTTGGAATGGTTCCACTTGGGGAATGAGTTAGGACGAGAGAAGAGAAATACTCACGTGTGTAAAGACCTTTGCAATAAATTGAGAAGCTAAAATCTCTTATTTCACATTACATATGAAAGAAGCAACAGATGTAGTTAATGATGTTCATTTGATTACATACATACATACACACACATACAAACACTGTGATTAAAATTGATGGTAAGGAAGAATTATTACTTTGCAAATCTGTTGATGACAGTGTCCCATCAAAAGAAATTTTCATTGTAATTGACAGATTTTTAAAAATGAAAATGACATAATGTCGGATTGACTTATGGAGCTCAATCATTACAAGGATAAAATGCAGTTAAACACAATAATTTCCATAGAAAAATATTGGTGAAGTTAATATTTTTCAAGTTATTATAAGGTTAAATAACGTTATTTAAAAAATCCCATTGAAAAGGAGGATCTTTGCAAAACTGTATGATGATGTGGAGGTAAAGCATAAGACAGCTTTCTTGTGCCAAAGTATTTGAAATGTGTTCAAGCTGGAAGACAAAGTTTTGTCACTTTTTTCTTATAGATTATAATAGATATGAAGCAAATTCCTTTTGTAACAAGAATTTTCTCCTGAATCTTAGGTATTTAATGGATATTTATGAAAAACATGCAGGGTCCTCAAATTTATTTTCACATCTAAAAAGATAAAGTGACCTAGATATTTCTAAATATAGATGTATAAGGAACACATTTGTCATAGATAAGTGGAAGACAGCTTGTCTTATCACATCTGTACATGAATGTTCAATACACTTACACATTGAAATAAGCACTTGAAACTGAAACTCTTATTATGTTTTGGTGGATGAAGAGTTTTCTTATTTCTCAAAGAAAGCAATACCAATTTTGCTACCACTTGGAATACTGTTATTTGTGTGAAATAGGATTTTCTGTCATAGCTTTTTCAAAGACAAAATAGGATTCTCTAAAATATTGATTTATTAATGGGATGAATTATGACTACTCATCAGAGCAATTGGAATGAGAGCTCTCTGAGTTTGAGGAGATTATAAATGAAGAGGAGACTTGATCTATTTCTTCCCTCCATTTCAGCTCCTACAATGGATGGCAAATGACTCCATATGTGTCATTATGTGATAATTTCAGGATCTGTACTGGGTAAAGGAAAAAAGGAGAAAGCCCATACTCTAGACTTACTTGTCCAAATAGAGATTATTATTAAATGATATTCTTTACAGCCATCTAGAGGTAGAAGTGTAGGATGCTGTGGACCTCCAAATATGTACCCATTGGGATGGGGTGGTGGCAGTTCCCCAGATTATTGTTGTGTGGTAACTGCAAAGATAGCCTCTTGGCTTTCTCTTTTTGTGCAGGAAAAAATGTCATCTCCCAAATGTGTTAGAGAAACTTTTTTTTGGGGGGCAGGGTATTTCAGGATTGATTATTAATGGAGAGACAGGTATTAACTGCTACCTCTGTTTCCAGGCCTATGCTTAGGATCTTTGAATGTATTAACTGGTTTGTAAGGAATGCAGGTGTGAAGTTGGAATATTTTCAAATTTATTCACAGTTTCTTAACAAGGGAATGTGAAAGGTCTCATCTATAATGTCAGATGCTATAAGGCCCTTTGGATGCAGATAGACACTTAGCTGTGAAATCATTAGGAAAAAAAGGTGGTAGGGTTTTTTGGCTGGTTTTATGAGTGAAAACAAAAGAGAGAAACAGTTAACACAAGATACTAACCAGTTAATTATGGGTATGAATTTTCCGAGGAAGTTTAAGGAGTGCCAGAAGGATGGCTTTTAGTTTTCTCAAGTGACAATTAAGGGCCTTATAATGGTGCATATAGTTCCCTCTACCTCCCCTTGGGACCCTACTGGTTAGTTATCCTATGTTAACTATTTCTTTCTTTTGCTTTCACTCATAAAACCAACCAAATTAGCTCTTTATGCCAACTTTTCTTACATTCTCCTTTACATTTCCTCTCAATCATTTTTCCCTCCTGAGTGGGATTGAGACCACTTACACAAATAAGAATTCAGAGGTTTTTCTCAGTAGAAACAGAAGTCTTATTCTAGCAAGTCTCACGTGAGAATTGGGCATCACCTACCCAGGGTGGACTGGGGTAGGGAGGCAAGATACAGGCAGCAAACAAGCAGTTATATACCCTTAGACAAATAACTCTAAGAAACACCCCCTCTCCCCCACTTGTTTACCTCGCTCTCTTTATCCTCATTGGTTGAGGTGAGAGACCTTACATTCTATTTAGAAACTAAGAGATGCTTTTTACCCAAAACAAGCTTGGCAGCTAGAGGATTGCCTTATTTGATAAAGATAAGGCTGGGGTGGTGGTTACAAAACAAGGGAGGGGGTGGGCAACAGATGTATGATCCGATCACATGATTTACAGGAAAACGAAACTTAGGCCCAGCTAATGCTGAAGCCTTAAATAAATTTTTGAGGCATAGCTTCCATTTCATATGAGAAACTTTCACTTGTCCCACACAGTCCCCCCTCTCATTTCATAGTTGAAAGTTTGTCACACTAAAACTGGTAAGTTTCTTCAGTTTCCCTCTTTGCTATTTGATTAG